GTTATTGTAGTTGTCATTGTTTAGCAAGCCTGGGCCGGGATTGAATCCCTCAGACCCAGTGTATGTGGCTGGTGCCCTAACCACTGTACTATGGGAGCTGAGCCACAGTATTTAAATTTTTATAAGTAAAAATTAAAAAGGAATGATTTGCCATAAACAAAATGTTAAGGGCAGCGCCTGTGGCTCAAAAGGGTAGGGCGCTGGTCTCATATGCTGGAGGTGGGGGGTTCAAACCCAGTCCCAGCCAAAAAAAAACTATAAAACAAACAAACAAAAAAATGTTAAAATTTCTAATATAAAGGATTCATACAAAAAACATACTAACATACCAAAGACTGAGTCACAAAATAGAACATTAAGAAGCTATTAACATTCTGCAAAACATTATCCATTGATAAAAAATAAAAGTGTTCAGTTATAAAATTTTATATGAGCTGGTCCCATTTCCATTTTTTAAAAGTTATGTCTATATATGACTCAAAAGAATCTAGAATGACACATTGACAGTCTCTTAGTAGAGGAGAATATCAATGTTATAAACTATTCCTTTCACCTGTCTTTTTAAAACATTTATAGTTACATACTGGCTTTTGCAGAAATTTTATTCAAAATTTCATCTCAAAAATGAAAAAAAGCTAAATGCTACAGAAAAAAGACAGTAATCAACCAGAACAAATACTGTCCAAAAAACTTCTTTAATTCTTCCTTCTGTTAGTAGTATATGCCACTTGATTTATATTCCATTGAACATAAAGCCAGTGATGACAATAACAGTCCAATCCAATGTTCTCTCTCCACTCTTGGACTCCAGTGATTTCCATTCTCATATGTAATGCCCTCTTGGAGTCTGTCTTTTTATTGTTCTTCCAGTTTAAGAACTGATAACATAAAGTACCATATTCTCTCCTGCTTGCCTTTCATTTACTATCATTAGAAACCTCTAATCCTAGCCGGGCGTTGTGGTGGGCGCCTGTAGTCCCAGTTACTCAGGAGGCTGAGGCAAGAGAATTGCCTAAGCCCAAGAGCTGGAGGTTGCTGTGCGCTGTGACAACACCGCACTCTACCATGGGCGATAAAGTGAGATTCTGTCTTCAAAAAAAAAAAAAAAGAAACCTCTAATCCACTGGCCCTATTACTTTAATACTTCTTAGCTAAAAGCGACGAAGCAACTGGCCCTATTACTTTTTTTAATAATCCAAGAAGCCCTTGGCCTTCTATTCAGGTTAGAGTCTACAGTTCCTCTCATAACTCACTGTAACCTCAAACTCCTGGGCTCAAGCAGTCCTCCTGCCTTAGCCTCCCTCATAGCTGGGACTATAGGCACATACAACCATGTCTAGCTAATGTTTCTGTAGAAAGGGGGTCTCACTATGTTGTGATCTTCTAGCCTCGTCCTCCCAAAGTGCTGAGATAACAGGTGTGAGCCACCATTCTTTCTTGACTAAAACCCAACTCCTTTTTTTTTTTTGGAGAGACAGTCTTATTTTATCACCCTTGGTAGAGTGCCGTGGCGTCACACAGCTCTCAGCAACCTCCAACTCCTGGGCTTAGGCGATTCTCTTGCCTCAGCCTCCCAAGTAGCTGGTACTACAGGTGCCCGCCACAATGTCCAGCTATTTTTTTGTTGTAATTTGGCCAGAGACAGGTTTGAATCTGCCACCCTCGGTATATGGAGCCAGTGCCCTACCGACTGAGCCACAGGTACCACCCTAAAACTCTCTTCTTACAGCTCTTTCAATACTCCATGATCCCACTAACCACAAAGTCTTTGCATATGCTGCTGCCTTTTATCTGGAATGTTCTTCTTTACTTTATCTAATATAGTAATTAATACTAGAGATTCTACAGCTAAACTGCCTCAATTCAAATCCCATCCCTGCCACTTACTACCCGAGTTACTTCAGTTGATTCATTCATAAAATGAAGTTATCAACAGTACCCACCTCATACGGTTATAGAACGATAAGTGAATTGTTATATGTGATCTGCACCTTGCATACACTAAATCCTCTATTGTTTGCTAAATAAATAAACAAACCCGAGACGTACTCTAGCATAACAGGAGCTCAGAATCTAGAGCCAGAATGCCTGTATGTAGAGTTTAGCTCTAAGACTTACTGTATACTCTAAAACTTTGGGCACATAACCACTCAGTTTCCTTATATGAGGACAGAATAAAAACCTACCTCAGAGATCTATTAAGAAGAGTAAATTAATTAATATAGGAAAACCTAAGAACACAGCAAATGCTATTTAACTATATTGCTATTTTTTTCCAGTTATCAACTAAGGTATTACTTCTTCATGGAAGCCTTTCTCAACTTGTTAGCCTATGCAAGAGCCCCTGTTATTTGTATCTTTCCCTCAGAGATCTAACTTAAGTTTCTAATTAAAAATTTATTGATGGCTCAGCACCTGTGGCTCAAGCGGCTAAGGCGCCAGCCATATACACCCAAGGTGGCGGGTTCGAATCCCCAGCCCGGGCCCGCCAAACGACAATGATGGCTGCAACCAAAAAATGGCCAGGCG